GTGTTTATATTTTTAGTATGTGCTCAGTGTTGTATTACTTTCTAACACATGACACTGTAATAAACTATATTATTATTATTATTTTTATTATTATTATTATTTTTATTATTATTATTATCATCATTATTATCATCATCATCAGCAGCACATGGCCCTTCCCCTCTACACGCAGCCAAGACAGCAAATGGGACTTTTCCCAGGAAGCTCTGCCTAGGGACCAAACCTGAGGCACCGAGAACAATCGGGAGTCGGACAACTTGGTACTTGGGATACAAGCGTGACATTTCGAAAGTGAGATCTGCATATTTGTCATGTTTTTTCTCAATCTTGTCAATCACATTGGTGTCAAAAGGGACAGAAAATTCAAAGATATAAATGATTTCATTGGATTGATCAAAAAGGTCAAAATCACAAGCATGGCGAAGACGGTAATAAAATTATAGAGCCATTCCCTCGTGTTGCTTAAGGTACTGTTTTTGTGCCAAAAGGGGCATCCACTGACAATGTGTTGGACAGTCTCATTAAATTCATTACATAATCATTATTATTATGTCGTCATAGTCGTGCCGGAATTCTATGATCGTGGAGGGGCGGTGGCGCCAACCAAGTCCGATGGTCATCCCGTATATCCATACTCATACCTGAAAACATGCATCCTCAACCACTTTCACAATATTCTCACAATATCTACAGGGCGGTGTTGTAGCCTATTAGTTAAAGCGTCACGCTCGTCACGCCGAAGACCCGTGTTCGATTCCCCACATGGGTACAATGTGTGAAGCCCATTTCTGGTGTCCCCCGCCGTGACATTGTTGGAATATTGCTAAAAGCGGCGTAAAACCATACTCACTCACTTGCTCACTCACTCTCTCACTCACGATGATCGTGGGTCTGAATCTCACAGACACTCTGATGATGACTCTTGGCTTTTCAACACTAAACCGATGCTCGTTGTTTCCACCAAAGTGGTATTCTTGAAAGATCTGTATCGCTTTAGCTATTCCTCCAACATTAATCTGACATGCCGTAATATAACTAAAAACCATTCCAAGCTGTTCTAAACCCAATTCTATCACTCACTTTGACAATTTTTCAAATATATATTCTTCAAAAACAGAAATGCATAGAAAAGTTTATGCATGTACCGAATACATAAGCACATATGTATCTACCCTATATTAAGCATGATTACGATGCCATCTGGTACCCAAATAATCATGTGTGTGTTGTGGTAGGGGATGGGGGTCTTTGTTGCCAAAGCGTTGTCTATTAGAAACTATTCCACGACTACCTGTAGCACAACGAAAAACGCAGTGGGACGGCTGGAACATGAGAAACGCAGTTGGCTTTAGCCAGGGTATTCCTCTAATCTCAGAACCCTATTTTCCGTCTGGGGCGGATGGGGTAGCTCGTCACGCGGAAGAACCGGGTTCGATTCCAAATATGGGTACAATGTGTGAAACCCATTTCTGAGATGTTAAATTGACCTTGTTGATTTTAACTCTAAAACAATGGTGATACAAAGATTTAACCTTTGATACTGTCATATTTCGTTATCGTTCATAAATGAACGCCTCGGTATTGCAGAAAGCTCAAGGTTTAGTTCTTTCAGTCAGTCAAATGCTACAGGGAGTAGCATTTGACTGACATTTCATGGTCAAATGAAAGAGGTCGTAACTTTACAGGTCGTGGATTTTCTCAGTCATCATTTTGAGGCCCTGACAATAACCAGGTGTCAGGTGTGGCAAGTAATTTTCCTCAGGGGTACAATGTATCCATGTCGGCAGGAATGATGATTTCAGGACCAGTTTGTTCATATTGTAAGAAAAAGGGAATTTGATAAGTGCATGTTGGAAAGTGAAAAACTAAGATCAGAATGAGCAGGGGCCACATGCTCTGGCTTCGGTGATATCACAGCAAATGCCTGGCTGAAGATGTGCAAGTAAATAATTTTTAATACCGAAAAGGGTTATTCACCTCTTATGTCTAGAGGAATGGTATCCTTAGTGGAAGATAGCTCTGTCTCAAGACCTATAGATATCCTCAGAGATACTGGAGCCCTCCAGACTCTTATGCTAGAAGATGATCTACCATTTTCTGAGAAAACTTACACTGGAACCAGCGTACTCATGGGAGGAATAGGTTGTTACATTAAGGTACCTCTTCATGTAGTCCATTTAAAGTCAGATTTGGTGATAGGATGTATAGAACGGGAATCATGTCAACTTTACCAGTGCCAAGTGTATCGCTTATCACGGGCAATGATATTTGAGAAGATATTGTATCTGATCTTCCTAAAGCAAGTGAGATACGTACCATGCGATATGCAGGAAGACATAGAAAATGTATATACACATCCTGTCAGACCTCATTTCTATTGGCCAGGAGTTCCGACTGATTTTAGAAAAAATCTGTAGAACATGTCGAACATGTCACACTTGTCAGATGGTCGGTAAACCAAATCAGAAGATCGCAAGATATCCTTGACATAAGAGTATAGCCCCAACATCTAAGTTGCATCTGCCCTTAATACCATATTTCCTTGAAAACTTAGTGGAGAGGGGTGTGTGTGTGTGTGTGTGGGGGGGGGGGGGGGGGTATAGGGTATTTTATGATATCTTAAATAGAGTATCCAACAATATCATATTCCAAAATACATTCAAAGAACTAGATCTTGGCCTTAACATGACGGAAAAAGATTGGCAAACGATTAATCGTAGTCCCCACAGATATAATGTGTCCTCAAAACAAAAATGGTTCCAATACAGTATTATTCATAGAATTATACCAACAAACGATTTACTGTACAAAATGGGATATAAAGAATCAATTTTTGTAAACGAGAAAAACAAACCTAAGTGCACATGAGACTGCCGGAATTAAATTGCTTTAAATTGTTGTGTGATCCCTCCTTGTTGTGAATTGAAACTGTTTATTGGATCCACTCGTAACACCAGTGATTGTACAAGGCCACCTTTAGCAGCATTCCATCAAGATCACGGCGGGGGACTCCAAATGGGCCTCACATGTGATGGTCAAATCCGGGTCGTGAAGACAAAACGCCTTGACAATTTGGTTACTCCCAATGAACCCAGTGGAAACACCTTGATGACAGCTGTTCATTGTTACAACAGAGATTGTAATCTACGCAAGAATATACGAACATGTTCTAATTTAAACAGAACGCATCGGTGATCTTTGGAATAATGCTCACATCAAGTGGATTCCTTCACTTATATGTAGCTCGAATGGGGCATATATACAAAACATCCAAGCCAGAGAATAGCCAGTCTCGATTGCCTTGGTCAGATAGTCCATCATCAAACAAATTATCTTCCCTCGAAATCTCTCTGTCAGTATCTTCAAGTAGCATTTATAACATGAAGCATTAATGACGACAGTGTTGATATCGATTTCAAATTGTTTTATTATATCTTGGCAAAGTGTAGATACAAGAGCGTGTATCACGCAATCAACAAATAGAAAGGACAGGATGAAACAGCTAGGGTAACACAAAGATAAGCAAAACAACAAACAGAAAAAAACCATGATATTAATGAGATTAATTCTTAATCTTAGTCTTTAGGCCTCAACCATATGTTCCCGTGTGTTTTTATCATGTGCATAATTGACTTGCCTCTGGATGTGTTTGTGACGGGTGCTACCTGTGAGACAGGATACGCTCAACTTTTCGGGAACACCTGGTATCATCTTTATTTGATGCTGATTCATAAACACATGCATATGCACATGATATAGTCGGAATCGTACAATCGAGATTTCTAATGAATATGGAAAGGGTTTTGTGTCTTTTACTTAATTTGAAAATCACTAAATTAAAAACAATTGTAGCAAACGTATTTTACCTATCAATTGCGCTTTCATTCTCATTTGTTTAGCAATACGTCCAGACATGGGCTTCACACATTGTATAAATGAGCCAACAACCTATCTAGATATATCCCTTTCGATATCAATTTTACTAGAGGTCGCATGTTGCAAATATATTACAAAGAAACAATAACAATATATAATGGTGATGAGTAAATTAATTTTAACTAATTCACCAAGACCTGCAGTTTTTCCTGGTTTGCTATGATTTCGCGAGTGCAAGTTTTTGGTTCACAAAACACTCTCCACAAAACTGATTGACAAGAGGGATGACTTCAGCTTTCCAATAGTTAACTTTCCCTTCAATATTCAAGGAGCTCAAACCTTTGGTGTTTACATTTCACAACTTTTGAGATACAATCGAGCATGCTCCTTCTACCAAGATTTCAAATAGCGTTATACGACTCTTTCTCAGAAGTTGTTCGATCAAGGTTACAACATTCAAGGCCTCAGTAAAGCTTTCAAGAAGTGTTATGGTAGACATGTGGAGGACATTTCCAAATGTGACACATCAGTGACACAAATTATGTCCAATGTAATTCCCTATTTTGACTTGTGCCATGTGTTCCCCTGTTTGTTTCAGGTGAACAATTTACTGGCCTTTGCGTGTGTTTGTGATAGTGCCACCGGTGGGGCAGGATACGCTCACCTTTTCGCGAGCCCCTTGTATCTTTACTATTTGATAGTGATTCATAAACACATGCTCGTGGTAAAGTCGGAATCGTACAATCGACTCTGCTTCAGGCAGCGATTTGTGTTGGGTATGGAAAGGGCTGTGTCACTTTATTGCAGTGTCCTATATCCTGACAGAGCTTTAGTCTCTGATGTATAAATGTCAACTTGCTGTATTTTTTTAATGGACCTGGTGTTTACATTTAAGGCATGCACTTCTGCATTAAACATACAACATTGATCATCCGACATTAAACATATTATATTGAAAGGTACATTGACAAAATACGCGTGTGCATGTATGGGATTGCCAGGTCACTGCATATATTTGTGCTGTGTCTAAATGCATATGCTGCTGTGAAACCACAGCGCATTGTAGTCAAATACTTTGAGTTCTCGTATAAGGTAGTTGTTTGTATTGCTTTTTACCTTAACCATAGCAGACAGTATATGTTTGTAAAGCAGCTTGGTAATATAATCAGAATGTTACAAAGGACTCATCAGAGCATCAACATGGGAGAACAAATAATATAAAGTTGTGGTTTGACTGGATATACGAGATATGAAGTAACGAAAGCATATGTGTGTTTGTGTGTATCATCAAATAATTAAAGTGGCAGAACTATTTTCATTTTATCGTTTCTTTTAGAAAGATCGAATATACATTTATAGCAGAATATAGCATACATGTAGCAAAGCGATAAATCGCAAAGAACAATAAAGAACGAAGTGTATTTAATTTTACGATGAAACATTCTTCAACGATGACATCATTTCTGGAGATACCAACATGTGCTCGCAAATTGATGACGTCTTATGTTGGACCACGCCATCACTATTAAAATACAGGTAAATATTTTTTAAGTTTGTACATTTTATCGTCATCCTTAAATATGCTGTACATGATGTTTATATCTCATATAAGAAATATATGGGGGTTGTTTAACGTACAATAAAACACTGGGGGGAGAATAATTAAAGCTTCAACTACATGAAACTATCTGCTTCATTTAATATGTTACTTGGAACGTTGACAAAAATGCGTAAGTAAGCAAGGACAAAAAATTTCTTAAAAAATGTACATGTATTTACCAAGAAAGATGTGAATCCAAGTTTAGGCACAAAAAGAAAGATGTAAAGAACACGTTTGAATCTAATTAGTCGTGCTGTCAAACGCATCATGAAACTGATCCGTTTCCTTCAGTGAAATGTGGTCAGTCGCAGAGACTTAATCAGCATGCAGATGTCAACCAACTATTTCATATCTATCACCATTAAGACACCAGCCATGAATAAAATCTATTATGATAAGATATGAAGATTGAATGTTACACATTAAATAGCACTAAGCCTTTGAAGGCCTTCGGTTATCACCGTCACACGGCTTCTGTATTGTGAGGGCATTTCCATTTCACTGGTTCCAGGCTTCTGGCATCTGTGTCATGTCTTCCTTAATCTTCCGGGAACTGCTCAAACAAAAGATTACATAGATAAAGTGGACATATTCACCATTCTATATTACATAGCCAAAACTTAAAATATAAGACATGTTCACAGTATCCATGGATATAGCACATTGGTTCTAAATATGTAAACATATGAATAATATAGAATGCTCAGCCAAATTTACCTCTTCTTTTCGTGCATTAGACCAGAGCCTGAAACTTTCGGCAATATCTTCCTCGAACTTCTTGTTTTTGGAATAGATAGCAATTCCACGCTCTTGAAATCTTTTTGGAAGCATCCGTGATTTCTCGTAAAATAAATATAAAAATTCCATCAACAATGTGGTATGCCTATTTGATAGTTTACTATAAATAATTGTTTGAATAATTAAATCGCTGATCGCATATCATCAGATATTATCATAATTGGAAACACAGACATCCCCCAAACACAGGGTTGAACATTTAAGAATTTATTTGGAACTTAAATGTATTAAATAGCAAACACATCTATTATTCTTGTAAACAATTTACCCCTTGTAGTTCTTTTTTACTTGATTCTAAAGTGCACATACTGTAAGTGTTCCGTTCTGGTTAAAGCTACACTACAAATAATGGCATTTTAGGATTTTTTTTTTTTTTTAAAATAATACATACATACATTCCATCTGAACACAACATATAATCACAATGACATTTTACATTATGCATGAACAGCACGTGATGCACACAGAAGCCAAAGTGTGTGCACCTATCTTAAGCTTGGAACTCCCAAAGAGTAATGCAATTGAGCTAAAGGGGGGGGGGGGGGGGGGGGGGGGGGGGGACTGATTTAATGACCGTGAAAAGACTTGTGGCTGTCCATGTTGATGAAAAGTTGCGTCCTGTCGTTAAAGTCACTGGAATCAACGGCACAAATTTTGCAAGACAACAATGACAGACCACATCGTCACCGATTATCTCCTACGAGACAGCATACGGACAATGGATTACCCTGCTAAGTCCCTTGACATATTCCCAATAGAGCATCTGTGGGATGTTCTTGGGCGGAGAATGTAGCGGAGACCCAGCACCCGTCAACGTTTCCGAGCTTCAAGTAGCTCTTCAGGCGGTGTGGCGGGTAATGCAGCGGAGACCCAGCACCCGTCAACGTTTCCCAGCTTCAAGCAGCTCTTCGGGCGGTGGGCGGGTAATGCAGCGGAGACCAAGCACCCGTCAACGTTTCCCAGCTTCAAGTAGCTCTTCGGGCGGTGGGCGGGTAATGCAGCGGAGACCAAGCACCCGTCAAAGTTTCCCAGCTTCAAGTAGCTCTTCGGGCGGTGGGCGGGTAATGTAGCGGAGACCAAGCACCCGTCAACGTTTCCCAGCTTCAAGCAGCTCTTCAGGTGGTGGGCGGGTAATGCAGCGGAGACCAAGCACCCGTCAACGTTTCCCAGCTTCAAGTAGCTCTTCAGGCGGTGTGGCGGGTAATGCAGCGGAGACCCAGCACCCGTCAACGTTTCCCAGCTTCAAGCAGCTCTTCAGGCGGTGGGCGGGTAATGCAGCGGAGACCAAGCACCCGTCAACGTTTCCCAGCTTCAAGCAGCTCTTCAGGCGGTGGGCGGGTAATGCAGCGGAGACCAAGCACCCGTCAACGTTTCCCAGCTTCAAGCAGCTCTTCAGGCGGTGGGCGGGTAATGTAGCGGAGACCCAGCACCCGTCAACGTTTCCCAGCTTCAAGCAGCTCTTCGGGCGGTGGGCGGGTAATGCAGCGGAGACCAAGCACCCGTCAACGTTTCCCAGCTTCAAGCAGCTCTTCAGGCGGTGGGCGGGTAATGCAGCGGAGACCAAGCACCCGTCAACGTTTCCGAGCTTCAAGCAGCTCTTCGGGCGGTGGGCGGGTAATGCAGCGGAGACCAAGCACCCGTCAACGTTTCCCAGCTTCAAGTAGCTCTTCAGGCGGTGGGCGGGTAATGTAGCGGAGACCCAGCACCCGTCAACGTTTCCGAGCTTCAAGCAGCTCTTCGGGCGGTGGGCGGGTAATGCAGCGGAGACCAAGCACCCGTCAACGTTTCCGAGCTTCAAGCAGCTCTTCAGGCGGTGGGCGGGTAATGTAGCGGAGACCCAGCACCCGTCAACGTTTCCAAGCTTCAAGCAGCTCTTCAGGCGGTGGGCGGGTAATGTAGCGGAGACCCAGCACCCGTCAACGTTTCCCAGCTTCAAGCAGCTCTTCGGGCGGTGGGCGGGTAATGCAGCGGAGACCAAGCACCCGTCAACGTTTCCCAGCTTCAAGCAGCTCTTCAGGCGGTGGGCGGGTAATGCAGCGGAGACCAAGCACCCGTCGACGTTTCCGAGCTTCAAGCAGCTCTTCAGGCGGTGGGCGGGTAATGTAGCGGAGACCCAGCACCCGTCAACGTTTCCCAGCTTCAAGCAGCTCTTCAGGCCGTGGGCGGAGAATGTAGCGGAGACCCAGAACCCGTCAACGTTTCCAAGCTTCAAGCAGCTCTTCAGGCGGTGGGCGGGTAATGTAGCGGAGACCCAGCACCCGTCAACGTTTCCCAGCTTCAAGCAGCTCTTCAGGCGTTGGGCGGGTAATGTAGCGGAGACCAAGCACCCGTCAACGTTTCCAAGCTTCAAGCAGCTCTTCAGGCGGTGGGCGGAGAATGTAGCGGAGACCAAGCACCCGTCAACGTTTCCAAGCTTCAAGCAGCTCTTCAGGCGGTGGGCGGAGAATGTAGCGGAGACCCAGCACCCGTCAACGTTTCCCAGCTTCAAGCAGCTCTTCAGGCGGTGGGCGGGTAATGTAGCGGAGACCCAGCACCCGTCAACGTTTCCGAGCTTCAAGCAACTCTTCGGGCGGTGGGCGGGTAATGTAGCGGAGACCAAGCACCCGTCAACGTTTCCGAGCTTCAAGCAGCTCTTCAGGCGGTGGGCGGGTAATGTAGCGGAGACCCAGCACCCGTCAACGTTTCCGAGCTTCAAGCAGCTCTTCAGGCGGTGGGCGGGTAATGTAGCGGAGACCCAGCACCCGTCAACGTTTCACAGCTTCAAGCAGCTCTTAAGGCGGTGGGCGGGTAATGCCAAAGGCAACCATGTGCACTTTAATCAACAGTTTGCCATCAAGGTGTCGTGCATGTAAAGTCCAACATGGTTGACACACCAGGTATTGATCTACACGCCCGAAATGTACTTTGCAGACATTTATGGTAAAACACACTCACTATCATTTCGTCACTATCATTTCATCAGTTCCTATTCATTGATGGATTCATGGGTTACATTAGCATACCTGTTCTTCTGGCTGGGTGAAAGCCTTTTCAGGGTTTGATTTGTTATAAAACCAAACTTTTGTTATTGGATCATCTTTTTTCTGTCCATAATCGAAAGACTTCAGCTACAAAATAAACCAAATTGGAACCGTATATAATATGGGATGCATCTGTTTCTTGATGTGCCAAAATCTGCAAGAATGGTCACTTTATATTACGTGTTCCTCATGCCAATTCAACTTACCCATTGTCCCCAAACATATGATGTGATTATGAAAACAAAGAAACAACGAATGACTGAATACAAAATGCTGGATTCTTGATAATCCAAACCGTAACAAAAAAGTCAAAAGAACATACTTGTACTTAAAGCAAATGGCTGAAACATGTGTAAGCTATCTGCGAATGCCAGAAAGTATGTCAAATGTCAGTGACTTAACTAAGTGAAAGCTTCAGGGAAACAAGAACCAGTACAGACATTAACAATATTCGAGAGACTTGGCAGAGACAGCAAAAACATGTTAGTTAATACGCAACATTATATCATTATTTTCTGCACCATACACAAACACCATGTTTGGCCATCTTATCTCGGCAGATATCAACAAAAATCAAGTGGAGACAACATCAAGACTTCACAGATACCAAAAAGTGCTTCCTTTTTATTTAAGAAATTAAAACTGGAAAACAGTTTGACAAAAACTGGCATACACCCAGAAAGCGAAAATACAAAAACAAAACAAACAAAAACAAAGACATGACCGTAACAGACAGACTATTTCAACTATTTCGAACTTGGTAAAGTAAGTTGTACCTACAATGATGTCAAACTGTTCTCCATCAAAGGTTGTTTCTTTTTCAGCATGAAGAATTTGTTCTTTAATATCCGGAATGTCATCCTGAAAGTAAAATATTGTGTTGTACCAGTTCACTCAAATTACACCAAAGTACATGAACAAGTAAATGTGCTTCAATGAATTGCTACAAATGGGGAATGAACGTTATAAATCTTCACTGGATTTTCGTCACACAAAACTAATGCTCGCTCATTTGAGGTCGCAATAAGTTTACAATGATTTGATATTTCGCTGTGAAGTGAACCACTCTGTAAAAGCAATGGCCTTTGCTCATCCATTAAATTTGTGAGATAACTACGATACAAAACTATCATCATACTTGTGTAAAAGTGTCCGCAGCAGACAGATTGTATTGGCCAACACACTTATACAAATCTCTTTTCCAGATTCTTCCGATGATTTCTCTTGCTTCAAGTGTGCCTGGAAATGATCCATAGCGTTCGCTCGTTAGATACGTTTTGAAACAACTTGTTGTAAGATAAATGGTATCTGACAGACATTCGTGTAGTATCTCTATAACACGATATGCTCAATTATATCACAATATGCTCAATTATAACACTATATACTCAATCATGACACGATATACTCAATTATAACACAATATGCTCAATTATAACACTATATACTCAATTATAACACTATATACTCAATTATAACACGATATACTCAATTATAACACGATATGCTCAATTATATCACGGATGTGGGCCATAACGTGCGACGGAAGCGTCCACTTGAGCTTCAGGCACGGCATCTTAAGGACGATCAGACCTTACTCTTACTCTACAGCTCATTTCTGAACAGTTAAATATTAAGGGCAGCCATCTCCATATGTTCATTTCATGTTTGATCATTTTGTGACATGCCCTTTATATAAGTGTACCTTTCTATGTATATTTCACCCCTGGCAACTGTTTAGATGCCTTCTCTAAAACAGATGCAGTTATCAGTGTGTAACTGGTTTTATCTCTTCCTATTAATAATACTTTCCATCCACGTGTTGAAATCTTACATTACACAAAGCAATGGCAAGAGGCCACGAAATGTTTATACGTCAATGTCAATATTTTAATAAATATATAATACTTAACAAGTTCTCACGAATACCAATTTATTTAACAAGTGTATAGTTCTCGTATTTGACTAGCAGAACTATTCACGAGTTTCATACAACTGGTATTATACGAGAGCGAGTCTAGTGTTTTACTTATTACTTGCGAATTTTCCGTTTATAACTTTTTTAAATGGTATGGTCGTGAGTATATATGCAGACATCTAGCAATAATCTAGCTTATTTCATTTGAGCATGAGAAAATAAATTAAACAAATTAGAAGTTGACACATTAATTTAATATTATATTATACTTTAGAATTCAGGGTCCCATTCCACAAAGCTATCGTATCGCTAAGGTTATCGTAACTCCCATATTTTAACACAGACCTTCGGCTGTCGTTGTGCTAAGATCACTTTGTGGAACAGGGCCCTGCACCAAACAGTTAACAAACACGTCACAATACACCATCATAATTTGTTGTAAGATACACCACCAAAACAAGGCCATGGGTCGTCAGCCTAGCAACGGTTTCTGTGGTCAATGTGTTTGCATAAGCTCCTCTTGGTGATGAATAATCTCGACGCGCAATGCCGTTGAATAAGCCCAGGGATGTTAAGTGTTTTCAATATTTGTCAATGAAAACAGTTCCAAATTGTTTGATAGGCATTACTTAGAAGTTGACGGGTGACAAGGTAGACACAATTGTATGGATAACAACTTTTTTATTTTACAGTATTAAGGAAAATAGTTCCCAATGTAAAAAAGCACGCGCTTTGGTATTAAACAGTATGTAATAAGTCTTATTGTTATTAAGCAGTAGTAATTCCTCTAACGGGCGAGTAATAATATAACATTATCAATCTGTGATTTGATACTCCATGATGATTTTGTGTTGTGTGTACATGTGACAAAGGAAAGATTTGACGTTCATTTAATCTAGTAACGACACTGAAACATGATATTCACCAGAGTCAGTTTCTTGGGGACTCATCCCCAGTGTTATGGGAAGCTCCACCAGTTGTAGGATGCTGTCATTTAGCTTGGAGTAGGCCTCCATGTCCTCGATACATTCAGATATTTTTCGGTAACTGAAACAAAACTAGAAAATTACAAAGCATTTGTATCGTTGTATATTTAATAATTTATAAGTTGAATTATATCCAAATTAGAGTTAGTAAGCTCATGCGCATTCACTAATCATGCAGAGTCAAATAACGGGATCCGGTGGAGAGGCTCGCTGACTTGGTTGATGCATGTCATCGTATCCCAATTGCGTGGATCGATGATCATGATGTCAATCACTGGATTGTCTGGCCAGACTCGATTATTTACAGACCGCCGTCCTATAGGTGGAATATCGTTGAGTGTTGCGTTAAACAACAAACAAACATTTCTTATTAACAGTGATTCTTCCATATAATTTCCCCCGCTATATAGCCTCTTACGCCCAATGGAATGAATCTGTTCTGGTGGAAAAATCGAGACTGGATCGTCTCTTGTGTTGGCGGCTTATTTTTACTCTGCATGTGGGTAAAAGATTTTTTCAACCCAAGGGAGATAACTCGTGCATTCAATTGACAGTGTCGGAATAGAAATAAATCTAAACAATCTTTACCGAATCCAAGAAACCACATTTCATTTCTTCTTTACGCGAGACCGCTTCCGTGGTCTAGTTGTAGAGCGTCCACCCGGAGAGCGGACGGTCCGGGGTTCGATGCCCGGCCGCGTCATTCCAAAAGACAAAAAATGGTACTTGTTGTTGCCCTGTCTTGCGCTCGGCATTAAGGGGATAAACAAGCAGTCGGCTCGTCAGTCAGTGTCTGAGTTGGGTATTAATGTTATACTGCGGCACGGTATCTCGATGGGCTAGCACTATAAAATCGCCATCAGTCCTGACTAGTACAGGCAGCCACACACCCACACACACACCCACACGTGCATGCACGTCACCATATTAGTTCAATAATCTTGGACTCAGAGATTAAACTAATTTCACCTCACCTTATTGTAATGTTTCAAAAAATTCAATATGAAACTCCATTTACCCATCCCGTCCTGATATCCACACTGTTGCGTTAGCTTTTACGAGCGCATCAACAATCCTGAAAATATACATGCAACATGTTCAAAGTATGGGTGCCATTTAAAATGTAAAGTTTGCCCGTTTAATGAGGAACGAGGTACATGTACAAACGATAGTTATTGGAGTGCATGCATTGTTTTTTCACATGTTTTGTCAATATGTGAAGATGTGTGACTATACATACATGAGTTCCACTCCACGGGTAACTTGGTGCTGGTATGCTCTTCGGTGTAACGTCATCCGGGTGTGAAACATCTCGTACAGGTTGGCGACCTCCTGCAGTCAACACAAACTGAACTTGAATCTGGTCACACAGTTAGTTCTCCTGCACAGCCTAAGCGTCCCGATATTTTCTTCTGTAGAACCTCATCCCAAAACTCAGTCACGATTGTCACAGCTGCCATCAGGGACGAACACGTTTACGGTATCCCCAAGTGGCATATAGTAGCTGTAGTATCAGTGTACTGGGTGTCAAGCACTGACTTGATAAATTTACTGCCATCCTATCTGAGACGTCGCATTGCAAGAAGAAAGAAGCTGGAGTCCGTAAATGAACATGTATGATGCCCCATTAACGGGCGTGTTGGTCACACTTCCTGCACCAACTTCGGTCAACATATGCATAGCATTCACTAAATCATACCAAATAACTACACCCTGATTCATCAGTGTTGTGTTAACATTCTTTTAAACGTGTACAGTGAGTGAGTGAGTTGGGTTTAACGCCGCTTTTAACAGTATTCCAGTTATATCACGGCGTGTCAGCTTAATGTGGGAGGAAAGCCCGAAGTGATGCAGGACTCAGACGTTTACCACTTCGGTGAAACCCACGAGCACGGGTATGGTGCTGACAAACCTAGAAACATAATCGGGGCGAACCGGGATTCGAACCCACAATCATAGGTTTCTGGCGTGCCCAAGGGACGCGACTCTGCACAGCGAATCGCGGCGCCTTAGACGACTGGGCCACCCGTGCCCCTTTAAACGTGTACAGTATCAATATAGCAAACAATGGATAGTAAACATATCCCGTTCTAAAGCAGCATGACAGATGTTTTGTATCCATCACTTGTACATATCCCGTTCTAAAGCGTCATGACAGATGTGTTGTATCCATCACTTGTACATATCCCGTTCTAAAGCGTCATGACAGATGTTTTGTATCCATCACTTAAACATATCCCGTTCTAAAGCGTCATGACAGATGTTTTGTATCCATCACTTGTACATATCCCGTTCTAAAGCGTCATGACAGATGTGTTGTATCCATCACTTGTACATATCCCGTTCTAAAGCGTCATGACAGATGTTTTGTATCCATTACTTGTACATATCCCGTTCTAAAGCGTCATGACAGATGTGTTGTATCCATCACTTGTACATATCCCGTTCTAAAGCGTCATGACAGATGTTTTGTATCCATCACTTGTACATATCCCGTTCTAAAGCGTCATGACAGAGGTGTTGTATCCATTACTTGTACATATCCCGTTCTAAAGCGTCATGACAGATGTGTTGTATCCATTACTTGTACATATCCCGTTCTAAAGCGTCATGACAGATGTTTTGTATCCATCACTTGTACAGTCTCGAAATCTGCAAAGCTGCGGTGAGCCCATTCATGGGGACAGATGCACCAAGGGGAGACTTGTTTATGAATATGTTAATAGTCACAAAGCCGAGAGGTTAACCATTCTAATATGATGTTAATAGTCACAAAGCCGAGAGGTTAACCATTCTAATATGATGTAACTATTGTAGTCGGCGATAATATGACGATGTACACTGGTGTAAGGTGTAACCTGTTATGAGTCCCTCAACACTAAGGCTGTAGTCAATGCAGATTGATGGATTACCTTGTCTCTTGCACAGATCCGGGGCACTTTGCCGCCTTCTTCTTCGACGAGGATTATACGCGCCAGCTTCATGTACCTGTCGTGGTCGAAGTTATTTTTTATGCCCATCATGTGACAGTCGCGAGCAAAGTAGTCCCACTTGTCTACGTCAATTCCCGTTTGGGCGTTGTTGACAATCTGGTGATAAAACATATGTATTATACACCATATGTTTATATCTTAGATTTCCAACACAGAGAGATTTGACAAGATGGTAACAATGTCGGAAAATGTGCTTATGTCCTAGTAACTTCATATTTTAGTATTTATTTATTTATTTAATTATCAACAAACCAATTCTGCTTATATTTCCCTAAATATTGACGGTTGTATGAAATACTTACTTCATAAAGAAAAGGCCTTGTTTTCCTCTTTTCGAGCACACGTTCATCTTTCACATGATCCTGTAACATATAACATTGTAAAATATGCTCACAAGTGACAAACACATGGTGCACTTTTATACATCAGTATATTTAGGATGCGGTGAGATTTGACGTCGGGATCGGTGATATTGCTCTAACATGGTGACATACTGTGCGTGTTTGTGGGGGATGCTTATAGTCCAGACTAATGCTGATTGTATAGTGGCCCACTGAGATACCATGGCGCACTTTAACATGAAGCGCCAGGCAGGGTAACAACAAATACCATTTTTTAGCGTCTTTTGACAGCGTGGGCTGGGGCCCAACTTCCACTCACCGGGCAGATGCTCTATCCGATGGACCACAGAGGCTGTCCATTTTACTCACCTCTATGGTTTGCTTTATGTTTGCTTTCTATCTTACTATATCACTATTCCTGCATTTGTCTGACAGTCAGGTATCTAGTCCCATGGGAAGCTACAAAGTGTAACAAAAATAGAAACATAGTTTGTGCGAGCTCGCCATGGAATATAAAAATACTTAACTCTCCTTTCCCGCCTTTGATGAGATCCTTAATGAGCTCGAGACGAGTCCCATCTTTATCAAACTTCTTAAAGGCTTTCTTCACTTCGATATTTTCTCCAAGTAAATATTCCAGCATCATCACTGATGCATCCTCATGCTGAAACCATTAAAGTAAACGTAATCAATTTCTTTATTTTTTCCCCCCAAACCCATTGTCTGTGATGTGTGTGTCCATACACACTGTAACCATAACTGCCGTACTTAATCATCAGTCTATTCTGTTGCAAATCCATCTGTTTCATATTGTTAACAGTTTAAATGTCGGTTTTAACGTGTTTTCATTGCACAAATATGTTTCCACTCTTCTCACCATATGAGAACTTGTGTTTTGTTTAATGCCACTTTGTTTATTTAATTAATATCCTACGAAAAGTGGCTCACACAATACATGTCACAATCAATGCGAATCTGATCAAATGACTGAAACATATATTGTACTATGAGAATGTGTAAAATTTTAAACTTATATTAAAATGAATGCTTTGGTGTCGAGTATCATCACATCCCAAACTGTCATTTACTCGTCATGTTGTACTTAAGCGTGCTGATCTTTTGAATTTCATAATTTATCAAATATTATAAGGATTTTTTTACAACGCCTGCTGTTAACGTTTACTGTTTGGTGCAGAAATTATTACATTTCATCTCGTGACAGAAATGGCATCCCCTATGGACATAAAGTGTATATACCTTCCACTTGCTGCCTGGCACCACACGAGGTATAAAGAAGTTGTCAAAGACGTGTGAGAATGGGCCGTGTCCTTAAAGAACAAAAGCGTACATCTAGTGCACATATTCGTGTTGTGTCAGTATCTTTCTGTCGATAGAAATGTTTTTTTAACTTTCTTTCCTCTTTGAAATAGCCAGTATCGAGATCAAAATGTATTGTGATTTTGAAAAAAAGTCTACTAATTACCGAGATCGTGGCACAGTCCTGCTATTTCAATGCACTTGATTTCATCGTCCTCCAGTTCTGGATATTCCTGTTGCAGAATCCGAGCAAATGTTCCAGCCAAATAGTAGGTTCTGTGTTACAAACAAAGTTTGCATCTGTACGCGCATTAAGAATTACAGAAAAAAAAATACAACTTATAACAAGCTATGTTCGGCAAGTTATTCATGTCCTCAGAATATGCTCAAGGAAGGGTTTTATGGGCACTACTTTTGACATCGCCATTGCGATATAACTTACCCGATGCTGTGCTCAAACCTATTGTGTGCTCCGCCCGGGTATACAAAGTAACCTCCTCCAAGTTGCTTCAAATACCTCAACCTCTGAAACTGCGGGGTGTCTATTATCTTCACACACAAACCCGTCACCGTTATAGTTCCATGAACAGGGTCTTTGAAGATCTAAGAATAAAATAAGGTTGAATCAGGTGTTTCCTTGGGTTTAACAATATATTGCATATGTCCTTAAAATGTTCGTTGAACGTTTTATACTTTGCCAATATCAGCAAATGGTTATAAAAACACACGAATGCAATCTCCAAATATCATTGCATATGTCTATTACGCCTCCACCTGAATATATATCTATATATAATAGCTATACACATGCATATTCGATGACATACGCTCTTCAAAAAAAAAGAAACGCACAGGTAGTATGTCGTTCACTGAACCTGACTACACAATAAATCCGGTATATAAATTGGATATATGTTTTGCAATGTCTTAAACGGCATTGTTTTAAACTTCAAACTTCAAAAACTTCAAAAATGTCATGGAGGAAAACAGTAAAGCAAAATGCACGTGCAAGTTATGGCATTCGTAACTCGTGGTAGTGGCTATAAAAAGGAAAGCATAATTTGTCATTCAGTGAACATTTTTCAAGTTCGAAAGTGCCGAGACAAAGCGCTCCCAATCGGGACATAGCCATAGGACGTATCCAAACAGGGGAATCGCAGAATCAACGTCCACCACAGCACCATTTGCCGCCTTTGGAACCGATAAACACAGTTCAATTCTACTGTAAGCCGCCCGAGAACTGGCCAACCAAGAGTTACCACCCCTGCACAGGATCGCTACATTCGACTGTTCCACCTACGTCATCGCAGCTACGGAGACTGTAGGCCGCACCATCGGTTTGAGGAGGATATCGGACAAGACTGTAGGGAACCATCTTCGCGAGGCTGGAATCCGACCCAGTAGACCAGTTATCGTCCATGTTGGTGCTATACCTAACAGGCTTGTAATTTGGGAAACTGGAGACGAGTGTGGCGATAAATCACGATTTCTTCTTCACCAGCGAGATGGAAGACAACGTGTTTATCGACGTCGAAATGATCGTTTTGCCCTACATTGTGTACGTGAATTCGACAAGTTCGGTGGCGGTAGTGTCATGTTGTGTGTGTGTGGGGGGGGGGGGGGGGGGGGGGGGACTTGGGTGTGGTTCGGGGAAATTTAACAGCAAATCGCTACATGAAAATTCTTGAACCTCACCTTCTTCCAATCATTTACCATCAGAGGGGGCTCTTTAAACAGGACAAGGCTCCACCGCACACAGTTCGTGTAGACTACCTTCATAATGCAAACATCAACGCCTTTCCCTGGCCGTTGAGATCTCCAGATCTCGCAGACATTCACACAACTGGCCAACACGTTACAAGCAGAATGGCGCAGAATTCCGCAGGACAGAATTCGTAAACTTATCCAGTTAGTGCCGAGGAGATGCAGAGCCGTGATTGCTGCCCTGGGCGGTCACACGAGAAACTGAGTTCAACACAAACTTGTGGCCTTATGTGACATGACAATGAACAGTTTTCAATGCCTTTGTGAAACGGCAACATGTGACTATCGAGCTCCAAAATTTCATATTTGTATCTGTGCTATTAAATATATCGACTTGTATAGGTACAATAATTTACTAAAAATCTACCTTTGCGTTTCTTTTTTTGAAGAGTGTAAATTAAGCGACAAAACCCTTTCCATAGCCGATAGAAATCTCTACATAAAGCAGAGTCGATAGTACGATTGGGGTACTCTGCCTGAGGTAACAATGCCTACCTTTGAACTTGAATCTTTTCTGCAGAAAGAAAACATTCACATATGTATGATATATATCTGTGCATTTACTGACGAAGAGAATTTATGGATGTCAACTTCTTTATTATTAGGAAAACAACATTTCGGAGTATATGCTTACTCCAACAACAATAACTGGCGACAAAGAAAACTACAAGAAGCCATTGGCATCAGGAGACACCAGCCAGCCATGAACTGTGAGTAGGGAAACTATCTGCCTCGTGCTGGGGGCTTATTGCTTTGGTCTTTCTTTATCTGTGGTTATTATCTAGCTGGCATCCATTTGCCCATATCGCTTTCTATTGTTTTACCTCTAAGTGCCAATTACCCCCGGCCTCCCGTTTGCCCATTGCCAATTACTAATCAGTGATAATTTAAGTCCTGGCTTCCATCAGCGCTAATTACTATAAAGTGTTGACTTCCATTGTCTATTGCTAATCATCTATAAGCGCCACCGCCAATTATCTGTTGGCTTCCCCTGCTAAGTTCCCATGTTTTGTGACCGTATTACTGTTGTTGTCCTTACATGTACATTAAAGATATATATATTTGCCTATTTATATAATAGTTTCCCTAGTCACATTATTTGGATATATATATATACACTCTGCCTCATAGCATTCATTCACCTGATGAAAGAGTGAGCATATGATCCGAAACGTTGTTTTCCTAATGATACAGGAGTTGACATCCATAAATTCTCTTCCTTATGTGTATCACTTCTAAATGCCTTTCAAAAACGTGTGCATTTACTATTACTTACTCATTTAATCCCCAATGCATGACCGTACGACTTCGAATGAAAATTTATAAGGTCTCTTCGTACATACTTTGACAGTATACAACAGATAAGTGTCACAGAAAATGAATGCATAATGTTTGTACAAAAGCGCTGTGCATTATTGTAAATAAGGCACTTTGGTTAAATGTTACATTGAACTAATTTTCATCACTAAACACATTAGCAAAGACATGCATGAAATACTCACACTGGGCCACTTGAGGTACCTGAAAGTAATAATAGCAAAATATATCGATCCCTCTCAGTAGATGTAATCAAATGTCGTTCCTATCACACAGCAGTTTATTTTATCAACATCAAACTTGAACGCTCTTGAGCTTAACTGAAATTGCAAATATCTATTTTGCAGGACGACGACAGTTTTAGCCTTGTAACCTTCACCATGTCTATAAGTCAACTTAAATTACATACTTACACGGACAGATCCTTCTTACTGCAGAACTATTTTCCCACAGAGAGAATGAACATTAAACAGCAGTATTCTAGCTACATCACAGCAATGTGTAAACAATCGTTTTCGCACAAGACAAACCATTGATCAATAGCAGAAGCAACGACCCATGCCGTAGGACCTGGGTGACTCCCATGAGAGCGTGTGGTAGAGGGAGATTATTCTGAACTTGTACCATTCATGGTCAAAACAAAAAAGAACTTATCTCTGGTTGGCAATATCTGTCAGAAATTATTTAAAAAAAAATAGGGACAAAATCCTTTCCAAGATCACACGAAATAATACGATTCACAATCCATTGTACTATTTTGACTATATCCTATGCATGAACCAGGTGTTCGCGAAAAGGTGAGTGTCTCCTGCCACACCGGTGGTGCCCGTCACAAGGACATGGAACAAACAAGAGAAATACATTTTTGACAGCTTTTCTAAGGCCTTGAAGGCCTTGAATGTTGCAACTTTAAGAAAGCACATACATTCGATTATTCTCATTTGAAGGGAACAATGTTGTAATAGTTCACATTCAAACTTAGAACTTTTGGTTCAGTTTAAATATACGACTTACCAGACTGAACAACATTCTTGAGCCGACTTTGCTTTGTGGAGGAAGCCTCTGGGTCACCTCCTTCTACAATTCCTGCCTTCCGTTTATCTCCTGCCTCAGGTTGATTCGTAGACATGTTTGCAAATATCTGAAATGACATTGCAACAATGTACAGATGGTATGGTACATTGTATTGTGAACATTTATTCTGTATATTGTATTATGTTTAGTGTGTGATAAAAGGTGGTTTGAGGACATTCTGGTTGGTAAAGTGTACATTTTATTGTGAATTATGTAAAGTGTTCTGTTACAATGTTAACCTAAAATCGGTTTGCACAGTACAAAGTTGTGAAATCAGAAAATGACCCACAATGTTCCTGATTAAACATTACATTTTATTTAAACACACGGTTTTAAGTTTACAGTCAAATGGGTAATACAATGGGTCAAATAAGCGCCAGAAGGAATAAGTTAGAGGCCCTAGAATTAATGTAAATTAACTTACGATTGTTCAGAGTTGATGCAGAAGAAAATATCCACTTATGATTAGACTTATTTGGTTCGAGTGTTCTGATTGACCAATGTCGATCGCCTTGGGGACGACGTCACGCTAAAAATGGCTCCCTAGTGACAGATGTATATCTCAAACAGTATTGCAGTACATGGAAAAAAACCGAGCTAGAAATAAAACCACTGGTGCAGCCATCCGAAGTACAATAGCCCAGGCTCTATTAAGATTAGAGCTATATCTTGAGTTCACCCTGGCTAAAGAATGGAAAGAGGTATGTGTCTGCGGTTTGCAACAGTCAGCATATGTTGTAGAGTCGTTCTCACTTTGTCACGAGGTATTGAACTGTGTTTTAGCGGTTGATGATTTCGAGTCTACTAATGTTGGGACTGATCAGCAGATGCTTTCTTGTCAGCAAGTGGACGCTGATCTTTGCAGAGAAGGTCCTCAAATCATGCAGTTTGATGACCTTCTCTGCAAAGATCAGCGTCCTTCAAAGGAGTATCTAAGTCATTGGATCGTAACACAGCTTCAATCCTCGGGCAGTGGGATGCTCTCTCCATCACTAACAATCACCTTTATAGGAAACAGACTACAGAGGGTGATCATCCCTACTTTCAGCTCATTGTTCCACAGCAGCAACAAGAATCCTTCATTTCTCCTCATCATGACGTCTTCTTGAGACGAGTTTTTATTGGCCAGGAATGACGGGGGATGTCGAGAACCACATTCGCAGCTGCCAGAGGTGCATTCTTCGGAAAGCTGCTAATCAGACTGAGCGCTCACCATTGGTCAACATTCAGACCACTCAACCCATGGAAATGGTGTGTGACTATCTCAGTCTGGAACCTTCATCTGGTGGTTACTCAAATGTTCTGGTCGTTACTTACCACTTCACCAAGTATGCTCTTGCGATTCCAACTCGTAACCAAACAGCATGAACAACAGCGAAGGCCTTGTTTGAGCACTTCATCGTACACTATGGTCTCCCTGAAAGGTTACATTCATATCAGGGACGGAATTTCGAAAGTGACGTAATCCAACAACTGTGCAGCATACTTGGGATGCAGGACAACTCCCTATCACCCCATGGGAACGGGTTATGTGAACGGTTAAACTGAACACTTCTTGGGATGCTCGGGACTCAGAATAAGGAAAAGGCCCGTTGGAAGGACCATATTGCTCATGTGGTCCATGCCTATAACTGTACCTTGCATGAGTCTTCTGGGTTCACGCCCTATTTTCTCATGTTTGGCAGACTTCCTGGACTGCGTGTTGATGTTACCTGTGGCACGTCTCTCGCCACCACTTCATGGCCATCTTATACACAGTTTAATGCTGATTTGAAACGCAAGTTGACAACTGCGTATGAGCTCGCTTCTCAAAATCTGGACCCGGCCCGCGCCAAACAGGGGAAGACTTCAAATATGAAAGCCTGTAGTGCTACTGTTAAGGTAGGTGATGTCGTGTTAGTCCGCAACGTCAACATTCGTGGGAAACAAAAGCTTGCCGACCGAAGGGAGGAAGATTTCTGTGTGGTGGAGTCACAGCTGACTTCCAATGTTCCCGTGTTTCAAGTCGGCAAGGGAGGCACCAGGGAGCATTGTGTACTTCACCGCAATTTACTTCTTCCAATTGGTTTGGCCGTCCCTTTCCAAAACCCCGGAGCCCCCTTTACCTTGTGATACCTCTAACACCACTTTGGAGATTTCTACAACCGACCTGGATGTGGAAATTTCTTTATCTGCAGTGCCTGGGGTTCTCCATGTTGGTCAGCCGGTTGAAACTCCTTCGTTTCCAAGGTCACCACCAGCTCAATTATCTGGTGTTCCATCTTCGACGATGCCATCATCTTCGATGTCGCCGTTGCTTGAGTTGCCTGGAGGAATTTCAACTTCCCCAGTGCCTTCCAGCCCTTCTACTTCTGCACCTGTGGGTCCAGATTCATTTTCGGTCACCCCATGCCAGAAACTAATTAAAGTGGATGACTGATGGTCAATGGGTGGTGGAACCAAACATGGTTTGGGTATAGATCTCTATTTAGTCCATTGTATATATGTTTTGAGCACATTGTATTGCTTTCTCAGGTTCAACTTTCGGCAACCATTCATTATCCTGCTCCTTTCCTTGGCCGGTCGTCTGTTTTCAGCTGTGTATGGAGAGCTGAAAACGGGGCCCTGCATGTAGCAGGGTAGTTTGTTACCTTTCTTATGTTATTGCTATCTACATCATTATTTATACATCATCATCATAATCGACCCGTGAAGATTCCGGGTTAGAATAGGTCTTCAGCAACCCATTCTTGCCGTAAAAGGCGACTATGCTTGTCGTAAAATGCGACTAACTGGATCGGGTGGTCAGGCTCGCTGATTTGGTTGATACATGTCATCGATCCCAATTGCGTGGATCGATGTTCATGATGCCAGTCACTCGATTGTCTGGTCCAGACTCGATTATTTTACAGACCGCTGTCATATAGCTGGAATATTGCTGAGTGCGGCGTTAAACAACAAACAAACAAACAAACATCATCATAATCATCTATATGTTCATTGTTTGTCTTGTCTACAGTTGCATGTAAGTAAATAACTCTTTTAAGTATTTGCCACTTGTATTTTCAATCTCTTCAACCTTCAACCTTCAACCTTCTGTCTATCTTTCGACATTTTTTCACACCTGTAGGGTTTCCCTCATCTATTCATATCTTGCATTAAGCGCTTCCTTTGATGCTTAATGCAATCTATCTTCTAATTGGCCACCCTGGTCCACTACAGGTAGCTTCCTTCCATACCTGACTTCCTCCTCACTTCATGTGTCTGCTGTTGTGGATAAAGGCTGTTCTGTTCTTCAGGTATGGAATGGCCACTGTTCAATTTGTTTTCATCTGCCTCTGTCAGAAATTATTATCTATATTAGGGTGCTGAATTAAATTGAATAACATATATAATATCATTTAAAGTAATATTAAATTACTAAATCAATATTATAAAACTAATTTGTAAAATAATTAACTGCATGGTCCATTTTATTCCATGTGCTTTTTCAAGTATTATATAATTTTAATGTTAAATGACTACTAGTTTTATTATGATTACAACATGGGTTTGTACTTCTATATTTAATAATAATACCTGTTATTCTCCAAATATCTGACTTCATGTGCTGCTGTTAAGGAGGAAGGATATGTTCTTTTCTTCAGGTTATTTCCTCAACAGCACCCACCCCCATCATTTAATAAAAGCATAATTATTATCTGCCTGTGTCTGTGTTCTCCAACAGCCTGAGCCGAATCAAATACACCACCCCCGGCTTCAAATATGGCGCCCAATGTGGGACTGATCACGTTCATATAACATTTGAGCAAAACAAGCCTCAGTACCCTACTATGCGGCCAGGGACGTGCCTTCTGTTGGGTGTATGTAGCAGGGCGTGTAGTCATCTTCCAGATGACATCCTTACCTTGTCAGCTTGCTAGCGGGGTTTAACCTCTTTGGTCATGTGGACAAGGCGTCCGACCTCAGATCAGAAGGTCCGTGGTTCGAATCCCATCCGGGCCTCAGAAATTTGATGGCCGCTCCACATGCTTTGTACATGTAACCATCATGCAATTTGGCAACTTGAATTTTAATTCTGGGCAGTCACTGAAGAAACGTTGACCAGGTTGGACCGTGTGTCTGGACTGTGTGTCTTGGTTAGACCCTGCGGTTTGTGTGATGTCCCTAGCTTTGGTGGCGTGAGTGTTATACCTTTATTGATTATACTGACTGTACGCATTATGTCAGCCTACCGTATGTAAGTTGCTCCATTATGTATGTTAACCTATTCATGGTTGTAACATGAATGGTATCAGACACTGTAAGTAATGTGTAAATAGTTGTGTCGTGTCCGGGACTCGTAGCGTGGACCGGCACGGGACTCGTGGCAAGACGTATGAGCGACGTGAGGGCGTAACTCGCGGTCAAGATGCAAGGGGTGCTTGCCATCAGAAAGAGCCGGCTGTGTGACAGTATAATATGTAGCATCTGGAGGCGAACTGTGGTTCAAGACAAATGAACTTGTGTATATACTTGAACTATAAATGTGTTAAAATAATTGCTACAGCTACAAGCGAACTTGTTCAGTTGCGTAGCAACATTGATTAGATGTATATCATTTCATTGATATAATTATATTGTGATCAAATGTGTCCTGTTATGTTTATTTTGTATACCTAGGTAATCGATCATATATGGGGAAGTAAGAGTACAATAGTGGAGGAGCGAGATGGTTGAGAAATATGGAAGCCGTTTGAGAGAGATGACGAGAGTGTGAGCAAGCTGTACAGGCAGTGTGGGATTAACGAGTGCATCAGCGTGGAATTTTTCAGGAAATTTTATTTTAAGTATATGTATGTATATAAATCTTTAAAATTCCCTTTTGAGTTTTGACGTCATTTTATATGTGACAGTCACTGACAAATGTTAACGACCTGGGCACGATGTTGTCTGTCATTGTTATCTTGCAGTTAAAACTTTCTGCCCATAATTCTAGCAAAAGGAGCAACGACAGGATGCAACATTTTGTCAACATATAGATGACCAGTCAAATGTCCATTCACAATTAACAGATCACAATGTTCACAGGACGCCTTACTTTCATGCCGGCAGCATAGTGCCGAACAATATCCGACTTCCTGTTATAGTACATTGGACTCGAGTGCATAGTGTTATCTATTAGGTGTATTCCCGGTTTCCCAACGTTGGAAAACTTAGAACAACACAGGGATTAATGGATTAACACCTGTGGGTATATCCCACAGTCGTTTTAGAGTTGACCGACGCTCTACAGACACACTATGATTTCAATGAATAGGAGTATGAACAAACATGCAGTCATGGATTTTTTTATTTATATCATATTTGATTTCACATGATTTCCATATCACAGCACATGCACATGATTGAATTTTACAATTAATATTCCAATATCACGACAGTTTATGATGTCTCAACATCAAATTTAAACTACAACTCGACAATTTATAATAAACCAACATGACATGACATTTCATGATAATCACAAACGTTCAAAATGGGCCACATCTTCAAATTCAGTTGCTGATTTTCTTCCCTCACGTAAGTGTCTCTTTTCTGCATCAAGTCTGGTCTCAAGATGTCGATACTTAGATCTCCTGGGTCTAAGCATACCCCCACCTACAAGCTGCAGGATATGGGCACCGGTGTAGGCTTGTTCTGTCTTTAAAAAGTCAATAATTCTGTAGATGTTGGGGTGGGGACTGCCCATGATGGAGGTCAGCTTGAAGTGCCAGCCCTCTACGTGGTTGGTCGTTCTTGGGCCGACGGTGTCGTGGTGATTCCAGGTGCTTCGTCCATGATCGCCCTCCACCCAAACTTCAGTCATATAGTCAGTAAATCGGAGAACTCTGGCATCATGGAGAGGGGCGGCGTTGAGTGCGTTGAGCCAAACATCAACTATGTTGGCGAGAGGAACCAATGGCAAGGCAGCAGCTCTTCTGATCAATAGTTTAACACTTTCGCTACGGCAATACTCAGTCTGCAGTCTAAACCTCTGAGCATTTCACCAAATACATTTGCGAAAATTAAAAAAAACATTATTATAAGAGCCTGGCATAAGTGCAAATTGCTGAACACGGTTCAATCTGGCACGTGGGTGAACTTGACTCACCCACCAGCACCCCTACCAATGCCTGTTATGCTTAGACTTACCTTCGTGATATATTTTACCACTTATATATTCTACTTGTATTTATTTTTATGTGACCTCGTTTCTCATAACTCATATTGAGGGGTTCCGCACTTTTATCTATGTTCTATGTATATATGTATGTAGTATGTTGTACAGAAGTACGTTGTACGTTGTACGTTTATAAACAATTGTCTGTCTGTCTACCTGGCCAATAGTGCACCCAAACTAATCCCTCTATTGTTCTACGCCTGTCTGGGTTTGTTGTTTTAAGAAATTGTTTGATAGGCATTCCTTAGAAGTTGACGGATGACAAGATAGACACAATTGTATGGATAACAACTTCTTTAATACTGTAAAAAGGGACGTTTCGGTATAGATCCTTATACCGTTGTCGAGCAACTATATGAACTATACCGAAACGTCGCTTTTCACAGTATTAAAGAAGTTGTTATCCATACAATTGTGTCTATCTTGTTTTAAGAAATGTTGGGAAACCGGGGGCAACCCATCTATTACCTGTTGCTGTTTATGTTAATCTGCTGCTTGTCACAACATATCATGCATTCCTTCTCCAGTTTGACATCTAAACTGAACCGTCGCTTAATGCAATTAATTTTATGTAGTGTAGACTGCATATTGAAAGCTGTAGAGATAACAGGTTGGGTATGTACTATTTATAGTTTGTATTTGTATAGACTGAGTAGGCTGACGGTGTAGACTGGGAGGGTTGGAGGGTGTATTTGTATAGTGCAAAAGGTTTGCTGGATATGTGGGTCTCATAACCCAGATCTGATAACAGGTAAAGTTTGTGTGTTCAGGGGTGTTCACGTATTCAGGGGAATATTTTCGTGCTGGCCCACTGAGATATCACTCCGCAGTTTAACATGAATACCTCACTCAGACTCCGAGCCGACTAGTCCTTGTTTAGCCAGGCAGGGTAACAACAAGTAAAATCTTAAGGGAACCCTCGACCTTCCACTCTCCGGTCGGACGCTCTTCCATCAGACCAGGGAGGCGGTCTTAAGTGAAGTGGGGTTTAACGTCACGTTGAAGATTATTTCACTTACATAGCGACGTGCATGCACGCACGTGTGTGTGTCGGAGATTTGCTGCTTGTATTGGAATGTTAATACAGTTTACATTAAAAACCTAGATTGTCTATTACTAATCAACATATTCATTAATTGTATCTGACCCAGTGTCGCAAGGATTTGAGTTTAGCAGAGATTTCTCATGAATAAGGAAAGGGTTTTGTCTTTTTTATTTGTTGACTTCGCTGATTTATCTCACCATGTGACCGTTATATTAATGAGCTCAGGGCACTGATTCGCTGTGGAGAGTTGCGTCCCTTGGGCACGCTAGAAACCTATGATTGTGGGTTCGAATCCCGGTTCGCCCCGATTATGTTTCTAAGTTTGTCAGCACCATACCCGTGCTCGTGGGTTTCACCGAAGTGGTAAACGTCAGAGACCTGCATCACTTCGGGCTTTCCTCCCACATTAAGCTGACACGCCGTGATATAACTGAAATACTGTTAAAAGCAGCGTTAAACCCAACTCACTCACTCACTCACTCACTCACTCACTCGAGGCACTGAATGATGTAAGGTGTACATATTTTCCGATACCCGTGTCTATACGTAGATTAACCACCCCGCTCTAAATTCACTTCAGCTGTTCACCGGTTATATATTTATATTTAACATTTACGTAGGTCCACATAACAGTATTGTTCACTCCTGAGAGAATGTAAATGTAAATATGTTCTCGCTGAGACATATGTACGCATAACAATGCCAATAGCCACACATGTGTCATAACTGTCTTACCTGAAACAAGCATTCGCATGGAGAAATGCAGCCCGTATAACTTTGTGTACACCAATTGAAACATAAACCTGACAAATAATAGATTAAACGCCCACTGTTGTGAGCAACTGATCAAATCAAGTAACTGTGCAGTGTAGATACATAGATAAGTGTAACCAGGTCAGTGCACCGATAAGAGCACTTTATATTATAAAAAAATAAACATAACTACCTATAAACAAACACAGAAAGTACGTAACCATTCGCTCGACTCATTCTAAAATGAAGGCAATTTACAGGGATAAGATATATAGTGTTGGAATTACCATGTGACGTAAACGATTTATTTACAAACTTAGTAGACTGAGAGGGTTGGA